TCCAGAGCCATTTTGGGCTATCCCAAACTCTTCCTACTAGTCTCACTGCCTGCGGTCTGGCTCCCCTTCAGGCCATTTTCCATGCCATCACCAGGCTGACCTGATGAAACACAGAAGGCCTCAGTCTGACATTCAAAGCTAGGCACAATCTGCCCAACCTACTTTCCTAGCTTCCCCCTTGCTTCACATCACCATCCTGCCTCCTGCTCTTCTTTTTACCTCTGCATACCCCATTTCTCAAACAGCTGGCTTCTGGGGGGACTCTGTACATGGGTTCCCTCCCATCCAATGGAATGTCTTTCCGTGCTCCTTCTGAGATCTGGATCAAATGCCACGTCTTTTTTCTGGGGTTCTATAAGTGAAGCTGGTTGCTTCATCCTATATATTCCCAGAGCAACCACACACATCAATTATAGCCGTTATTGCTCAACTTTGTAATAATTTGTGTGTGGTTCTAGTTTCCAGCCAGCCTATGAACCCCTTGAGGGCAAAAAGACACAGATGTTTTGTTCAGTTCTGTATCCCTTGTCCCAATCACAGGGACTGGCAGAGGAGGTGCTCAATTTATGTTTGGTAAATAAGCTCACTGTAGATGGATAAACTGGCAAAAGTAAGCCTTGGCTATCTCTGTCTACTGTTTGCCGTCTACTTCCTTACCTGAAAAGCAGCAAAGAGCTAAGCTGTGACAGCCTCTGAGGAGCTAACTGGACAGGACATGGAATGGAGTAGGGTGGGGTGGGATGGAGATGGGAAAGCAAAGGATGAAATAAAGAAAGTTAAAGTTGGCAGCTGCCCTGAAATCCTGGATAGGTGAAACATCAGGAGGGTTGGTTTGTCAGTGGAGCGGCCAGGACAGTTTTCTCCCTGCCAGGGAGGGTCCCTGAGCCCAGGATAGCAGCAGGTTTGCCAGGGGCAGGCAAAGCAGCTAAAGGAGGCCTCCTCTCCCCACAGGTGTAAGGCCTGCAGGATAAAGAAAGTGGTCAGCTAGGGTACTGGCAATGCGTGGATAATGGCAGGGTTCTGCTCTGGTGGGCAATGCATCCTGGCCTAGAGGTTCAGTTGGCTTGGAATGACGAAGAGGATGGGCAGTGCCATATAGCTGAAGTGGCAATGAGCTGAGTCAGCTGATCTGGGACCTCTCCCTTTCCCTCTCCCTCTTCCTCTCCTTCCCCCTCCCCCTAACCTGACTCCATTGTTAACTAACTGTGAGGCTTCTTCACACCTTGGATTCCTCACCTGTACACAGAGCAAAATCCCTCCCTTACCTACACAGAAACATTTCTTCCAAAAGGTACAGACTGGATATCAAAGTCAGGTGGCCATTATGTAGTATTTTGGAATCAAGAGCAATGCAGTATGGACTCTGGCTGTGGGAGGGCTACACCGGGCCTGATCTGGACATGCTTCTAGGGCCTCCCCCAGGATCTTCCTTCACCAGGTCTTCTTGGACTTGGCTATCCATGAACTTTCACTGTACTGAGACCTGCCTTGCCCTCCACACTGGGATGGGGAAGTAGCCAGGTTCCTGCTAACTCCTGCTCTGGGTGTGGGGGCCTCAGGGACTGGTGAGCACCTGGCACCCTGCCTGCTTCCACCTTAGCAAAGCTTAGTCACTGGATTCAGCATTGAGAAACAGGTTCCAGTCCCAGTTCTGCCATTTACTAGCCGGCAAACCTCGGGCACTTTCTTCTCCAATCTTCAGAGTGTTCATCGAAAGAATGGGGATAGCCACACCTTTCAGAGGAAAGTGAGGGTTCACCATTGGTTACAGTTCACTGCTGCCCACAGGGGATGGGCCTCACTGACACTCATCATCACAGCCAGAGATGGAAAGTAGAAAATGAAAAGACAGGACCACTAGCTACTCCAGTCTTTAAGAGGGGGAAGAACATTCATTGGGCACCTGCCATGTGTCAGGCTCTTTTTAAATATCAGCTCATTTAAATCTCACAACAACCCTGCAAAGTCAATATTATCATAACCATGTCACAGTGAGAAACAGGCTCAGAAAAGCAAAGCAACGTGTCCAAGGTCATACAAACAGCTGGACTCCAGAGCTTGTGTGAGGAACAAGTACAGAGCACCTTCTTTCTCCACCTCAGTGTAAACAGATTGGGTGGCTGGACGAGAGCCAGACCTCACTGGCCCTCTGGAGGTCCTATTTCAGATGCAGATGCTGGGAGGACAAAACATCAAGCAGGCCCCACAATCTTATCTCTTTCCCACAGCTTAGGATTTCTTAACAGGCGGACACACAGGCACCTTCCCAGGGCAGCAGCTGGTGAGCTGGCCCCCTCCTTCACCAAGTCAAGTCTTGTCTGAGACTCTAGAACACCCCCAGGGCCACCAAACCGGATTTTCCTTAGAAGCTGGAGGAAGAGAAGGAGGAGAGAAAATGGAGGGTCTGTGGTCTAGAGTCATAGACCAGGGCCCCACATGTGCAGCTGCCTCCTTCCAGATGGGCCACCCCGGGACCACTCCGTCGCCAGCTCCATGCTGTTTTGGGACCTAATAGTTCAAGAAAAGAGGATGCTCTGAGCTTATAAACTGGAGAAGGTGGTGGGAAGGCAGGAAGGCAGGCTCTGGCCTGTCATGAGGGCCCTGGCCCTACCCCAGTAAAAACTGGCATAGACCAAACTATAAGGATGCCAATTAAGCCAGCTCTATGATTTCCAAAGTCATAAAGCTGCCATAGTTGGCTAGGAGTAGTGGAGGGCCCAGAGGACAGGGAAACTGAATCAGCAGAAGACAATACTACTATTCCAGATGTTTCTCCCTAGGCCCAACTCAGATCCCTCTCTCCTCTAACAGGAAACCCACACCCACAGGATCCCAGAGAGCATAGCTCCTCACCTCATATGGCCTGCCACACTGAGCAGACTGAAGCTGGGTGAGAAGCTGCAGGCTCAGGAGGCCAGTCCTGGCAATTGCATGGGAAAAGGAGAGGGAGGTCAGGGACCCGCCTCTCTCAGGCCATCTTCCTCAGGCCAGGAGACCTGGTATCTAACTGGTATCTAACTTCTTTCCCTTCCTGACCACCTCCTTTATGCTGCAGAAAGAACGCCCCATCCCGTCCCCCAACAGGTTTGCTCTTCCTACCCCCAAAGTGATAGGAATGGTAACATCTCTCCTTATACCTTTCCCTGCTTAGGACACTTTTTTCTCCTCCTCTGGTCCTTCCTGGGCTTCAACAACCAGCGCAGTTCTCAGCTAAGCCAAAAGAACTAACATTGCCAGCACTCTTGTCTGTGCCCATGCCACCCACAGGGCCTTTTGCTGGCTGGCTGCTTTCTTGTCTTTTCCCACTTACTGGCTAGTGCTCAAGAGCAGGTAGTGACCATCTCAGTCCCACCAAAGGTTCCCTTCAGAGTAGGCTCAAAAGTCAGACAAGGTGAAGAAGTAGAAAGGGCTTAGGGCTGGGAATCAGGAGTTCTGGGTTCAATTCCTGATGTTGCTTCTAATAGACTAAAGAGGTAAGGCTAATCATTTCTCTCAGGTCTCAGTTTACCTATCTGCAAGATGATGGCCACTAAGGTCACTTTCGGCTTTCTGATTTGAAATGTCTATCAGTAAATGTCATTCAGTAAATAAGTATTAATTGAACATTTACTTTGCTGTAGGCCTGAGGAGAAAAGGTGAATAAGTCTGGTCCCAGCCCTGAAGCTGATCAGTCTAATGAACTGGTAATGACAACACTCTTACCCTTGCTGTGCCGTCCCTGTTAGCCTCCTCCACTCCTGAGGGAGTCAAAAGTGCTGAGCTAAGCCAGGGAAGGTGAGGGTGGGCAGGCTCCTGCTAGGAAACCTTCTATTCTACCTGTCCAGCACCTGATTTTCTGCTGGGGCCATAGGCCATATTAATGGAAGGTAAAGGCAGTGGAAATTGTCCTGACCTGGGAGTCAGAAACCCTGGGTTCAAGTCCTGGTTCTGCTACTAATATGCTGTGTGATCTTAAGCAAGTTATTCCCCTCTCTGGGCCTCAGTTTCCTCATCTGTATAGTAAGTAAGGACTAAGCTGATCAATCTCTTAAGATCTTCCAGCTCGGTCTTTGATTTTACGGTGTATTCATGCCAGGCACCTAACAGTCACCTGAGTGGGCAGCCTCTATCCTGCTTCCTTCCCCATCCCCCCAGCCCCTGGCAATTGCCAAAAGTGACTGTCTTGAGACAACCTTTGGCCCAGGATGGCTGAAATGGAAATGGACCTTTAATCTGGAGCCAGAGTCCCTGCCATCTCCACTGCAGCCATCAGTGCTAATGTTTCACTTCTCTGGGATAGCACATGGATTCCTAGACCTCAACCACGAGACTGGGTTCAGGGCGGTCACCCTGAAACTTCCCATAACTTCCCCTCTTACGGTCACAGGCAGGGACTTACTTTTGGCTTTTTTGGAACCATAATATAAACTAAGCAGGAGACATCAAAGCTTTCAGACACCAGAGATTTGAGGTTGAACAACAGGGTCAAGAAAGTGAGGCAGGGAATGAGGAGGGGACCTGGGATCCCACCTCAGCCCCAGTGCTATGGACACCAGTGATCCAGACGGCGTCTGCAAAGCCCGGGTTTGTGGCTGGAGGGTGGGGAAGACAGATGTCTTGTGGCCTGGTTGGGGACTACAGCCAAAGGGAGGTGCTCCCACTGGGGCTGCTCTCTATCCACAAATACCAGAGGTACGCCCTCATTTTTCTCCTCAATTTTCAGACCCTTAGAAAGAAAGGAAAGGAAACTAATATTTTCTGGGCCACTACTTATGCTAAGCACTGTGCGAGGCATCTTTGCATACCTGATCTCATTTAATCCCCATGGTAATCTTGGGACTAGGTGTTATTATTTCCCTTTAGAATGAATAAACAGGCTCAGAAATTCAGGATCTTGCCCAAGGTCACACAGCCACCAAGTGTGAGTTCTTCCTAAGTCTAGACTTCTTCCACTATATCACACTGCTCTGTACCCCGAGATCTAGTTAACTGCCTGATAAACATGTAGTAAGAATTCTTACCTCCTAGAATTCACCAACAAATCTGAGCTCTTCCTTCCAAGAACTCACAAATGCAATTGGGAACTCCTTTCCCACTTCTCAAGACCTGATCCCTCCCAGGGCTCTGGTCCCTGGTGACTACTCCTCAATTTAAAAATATACCTTAAATCCCCTTTAGGTTCTCACAAGCTAATCTCTAGGGAACGTTGACAAAGTGTCAAGTCAGGATGAGGGATCAGAATAAGAGGTGCTCTCTGAGTGCTGGACTGAACTAGGCTTAGCTGCCAGTGAGCAAGCAGGAAGAGGTTGGGGGAGACAGATTCTGTACGAGAGAACTCTCCTTAAGGAAGGTACCTACATTTCTCCAAAGGAGGAGGAGGCCTGGTGAATATGAGGTTTTGAGACTGGGGAAAATCCCGGAAGTGACCTTGAAGGGGCTGCCTGTGTGGGCTGGGATTCTTATACTTCCCTAAGTCATAAGAAGCTGGAGGAGCCTTGAGCAGTTACAACTGGTCAGAGAATGGGAGGAAGGGCCCTATGGAGAGGGGTCATGGCTGAGTACTGTGGTTCCCCCCAGGGGATATCTCTGTTGAAGGGGGGAGGCACATCAGGATGGAGGCTTACCAGGTCTGTGCAGAACACTGGTCTCCTGTGACTGGACAGCTGGGGTAGGAGTGGGGTCTGGAGTTCATCTTTCCTAAGGGGACCACCAGCCCATACATGTGATCTCTGTGAGGACTGGGCTCAGGGGATTCTGTGGGGCAGAGTATAGCTGCCCACTTTACCCAGCTTGGAGGGAAGGTGCCACTCCACTGCCTCACATTTGTCTGCCTGACAGCTGAGTACCTGGGTGCTCTGGGGTTAGGGGATTTTGACCCTGCTATCTCCCTGCCTGCCCCTCCTCCCCAGTCTGTGTTTTGTGAAGAGGTCCCCGTTTCCATAGCATACACAGACACGACACGGCAGACAGTCTGTCCTGGAGGTGAGGCACTGTCACCTTGTGGATACTGGGAAGGGGGAGTGTCTGCCCACCTGTTGCCAATAACAGGGAGAAATCTGCCTCTGAAGGGGGAGGGGAGCACTCTCTGACCCTTCTATGAGGGGTAGGGACTGCCTGTCCCAGGGTGGGGCTGTCTGTACTTTAGTTGACCAATATCAGTCCATCCAGAGGTCTGTGTGTCTTGAGGTAAGGGTCAGTCTGTCCTGGGGTGGGGTGGGCGCAGGGTACTCTGTCCCTTTGTAGCCTGCCTAAGGTGTCCCCCTGATGTGGGGGGTTGTGGGTTAATAAGACATGGGCGTCTGTGGGTCTTAGGCGGGGAGGACGGTATAGAGAACATCTGTCTGTTGGGGAAGGGGCAGCCATCTGTAAGCCTGTCGGGAGGTGGCAAAGTCAATCAGCCCTAAGGCCAGGGTGGCAGCAATGATGTTGGAACAAGCGTTTGTCCCACAGTTGGGAGGAGGGCGTTGTTGGTCGGCCCTTCCTGGGGGGGCCACTACTGGATGGATGGAGAGGGCAGAAGGAAGGTGGATTTGGCCTGTCTGTCCCTCGGTCGGAAGTAGGTTCGCGGGTGAGGGGCGGGTCAGTCTGTCTAGGGGTGATGAGAGGGAGTAGGGGAGAGAAGGAATTCGTGGTCCCTGGTTGGGCTGGGAGCATGTCAGTCCGTCCTGAGGGCGCTGTCCACGTCGATCTCTCCCCGCGCGGGTCCCAAGCTCGGCCCGGGCCCACGGCCCACGGCCCGCGGCCCACGGCCCCCGGCCCCCAGCCTCGGCACTACTCACGCGCCCTCCGCGCCCTGCGAGCCCACGATGAAGCCGAACTTGTCGATGCGGCGCTCGGCGAAGCCGTTGGCCTCTGAGTCGGAGCCTAGAGAGCTGAGCTCATCGGCGGCTGCGGCGTCGGGACCCGGGGCCAGGCTCTCCCGGGTCCCAGACAGGCTCCCCGCGGCCGCGGGTGCGCGCGGCCCGTTCTCTCCAGGGCTCTTCGCCATCCCGGCCGCGCCCGCCGCCTCAGCTTCAGCGGCCACCTCAGCCAGCCACCTCAGCCGCCTCAGCCGCCCAGCCACTGCCGACGCCGCCGACGCCCCGCCCACGCGCCGTGTCCATTGGCCACCGCAAGGCTGGGGGCGGGGCTCTAGGCCCTCCCGGGAGCTCCCCCTACGCCCAATGGGCGCTGCGGACCCTGGGGCCCTCCCACCTGCCTCAGGATGGCGCCAACTGGCCCGACGTGAGGGGGCGGTGCAGCCGTCACTGGGAGCCCTCTCCGCCCCCCCCCCCCGGGCTGTCAATCACGAGAGCTCACCTGAAAGAGCTCCTCGGGCCTTTCCGGGTTGGCTCCAGCTGGGCCTGTCACCTGCAGCGCCAAGCAGGCAGAGGCGCAGGGCGTCCGCCGGGGATTCCGCATCTTCCTCCTGAGCCTCCGCTCCTCTCGAGACCCCAAGAACGTTAGTGGGGATTACTTCATCCATTCATTTATGAGTTCGGGGATTCTCCCAGGAGCAGAGGCTTAAAGACCCAGGCTGACCTAGAAATTCTGCATACCTTCTCCCCACCCCCACCCCCACTCCCCACTCCCGCCTACTGCTTCTGGAGCTTTAAATTAGCTCGTGGGAGACCTAATTAATAAGAATAATAACCCACGTTTATTGAGCCATGTACTGCCCCAAGTTCTACCTACTTGTTGTAATCTTTTTCCCAACAGGTTTGAGATATAACTAACATACCATAAGAAACGCCCGTTTAAAGTTTGTAATTCAGTGGTTTTAAGCATATTTATAAAGTTGTGCAACCATCACTATAATCTAATTTTGGAACTTGCTCATCACCCCAAAAAGAAATTCCTATCCATTAGCAGTCACTCACCAACATTCCTCCCCCAGTCCCTGGCAACCACTAATCTGCTTTTTGTCTCTATAGTTTGCCTTTTCTGGACATTTCATATAAATGAAACCATATAATATGCGGCCATTGTGTGTCTCGTATATTTCACTTAGCATAGTGTCTTCAAGGTTCATTTAAGTTGTAGCATGTATCAATACTTCATTCCTTTTTATGATAGAATAATATTCCGTCGTATGGATAGATCACATTTTATTTATCCATTTGTCAGTGATGGTCATTTGAGTTGTTTCCACTTTGGGTTGTTTCTACTTTGGGGCTATTTCCACATAGCAGCCAATGGGGCTATGAACATTCAGGTACAAGCATTTGTGTGAACATCTATTTTCATTTCTCTTGGGTAAATACCTAGGAGTGGAAATTTCTGGATCATACGGTAACTGTTTAAACCTTTTGAGGACTGGCAAACTGTTTTCCAAATTGGTCACACCATCTCTTGTCATCTTTTAGCAACAAGGTAAATACTATTATTAGTCTGATTTTATAGTTAAGGAAAGTGAGGTGCAGGGAAGTGAAATCAGCTGCCTAGGATCCCAGAACTAGCTATTGCAGAGCCAGGATTTGAATCTAGCTCTTACCAACAGCTTATAATGGGAGGCACAGGACAATTGTATCTACACAGACAAAGCTCCCAGCAGCCTACTTCTGACCCCAGGGATTATCAATACTTGGAGCCATATCAATACTTGGAGCTCCTCACTTAAGACCAGTTTACAAGTCACAGCCATGTTGTCATTTGACACTCTCTTGTAGACCTGTGGGGGAGACAGGCCCAGAGAGGGGAAGGGACTCAAAAAGCTGGGCCTGAGCTGCAGGGCCTGGGACAGGCTTCTAAGGAGCCCGAAGCAAGCCCCAGAAAGGTGGTTTTAAGATTTCAGTGATTTCACCAGCCATTTCCTCGATGCCACATGGCCTAGACATTCTTTTTTGTTTTTTGAGAAGGGTGCAGCTCACAGTGGCCCATATGGGGATCCAACTGGCAACCTTGGTGTTACCACGCTCAAACCAACTGAGCGAACTGGCCACCCCTCGCCTAGACATTCTTGAAGACTTTGCTGTGCAGTCTTCACATTCCATTGGATTCTGGTTTTCCATAAACAGGGCAATGGCAGACATGGGAGTGGGCACAGGCTATTTTGGTCGTAAACTCTCAGTCTGGGAGCATGTTCCTCTTCTCAAGTGGCTTCAGACAGAGTAGTGGGCTCTTAGTCCCAGCTCTCTGGAGGGGCAGAGTGGGCCTCACATCAAGGCGAAGGCCTATCTCAAGAAAAGGAGCACCGGCAGCCAGACACACCTGGAGCAGATACGAAGCCCCAAGCCTGGCAATGTAACCATAACACTTTGATTCCATAATTCTGGTCATAGGGTAATATCCCAAACACGTTCAGCTGTATAAGGACACATGTACAGTGATGTTCACCCCAGGGGTGTTTGGGGTGGGGCTGGGAGTAGATTAGAGGGACCCAGGCATCCATTTTTGGGAGACTGGATAGCTATTTCTCAAGTTAAGACCTTGATGCTCCCCTCGCTTTTAATTTTCTTACACAAGACCACCCAGGATTCAAATATCTGCTCTTGTCACTGTGTGACATTGAACAAATCACTTTTCTCTGAACCTATTTCCTCATCTGCAAAATGGAAATACTGAAAAAATACCCCCTTGGAGGAGTTCTGAGACTTGTGTTTGATAATGTGGGCTAAGCGTCTGGTACATGGAGATACCCAATAAATGGAAGCCAGGAGTGGTGGCATTTGTAGTTTGCGAAGCACCTGCAAATTCATTATTGTCTTGTGTGTTTCCCACCACAGCCTGTGGCTGCAGCAGAGTTTACCTAATTGAACCAATGACACACGGCTTGGGAGTCCTCGCTTCATGCCTGTGCCCCCTCAATAACTGGATGTTCTTGTGCAAAATTGCTAACTTCTCAGAACTCGTTTCCTCTTCTGAAAACTAGGAATGTCAATAATTTCTGGGTGAAGCCCTGCAAGCTATGTCTCTGAGGCCTCCAGCACATTAAGTAGACACTCAATAAATGTTAGGTTTCTTTACTGCAAACTCCAGAGTGCTTTAGCTTATTTGATATTGAGTGTGAACAAAAGAGACAAAGTTCTGGCCCGGAAGAGTTTATATTCCAGCGGAGGAGAGAGAACGTGAATAAGCATAGAACATTTGTCAGATAATGTGAAAAGGAAAATAAAGCAGGGTAACGTATAGAGAATGCTGGGAGCAAAGGTGGGGCTTGGGAGCGGGGAGTAGATGGAAATAGGGAAGTCTTTCTGTGCGGACCTGGGAGAATTAGAATGCAGGAAACAGGACAGCAAGTGCAAAGCCCTTGAAAGAGAAGCAGGTTCAGATGGTGTGGTTAGACTGGAGTAAGAAAACATAAGTGAATGAATGAGTGATCCAAAGGAATTCCATGCAGAATCACGTAGTTCACTGGGGTACACGATGAGAGGCTTTTGGCAATGCTGTGAAGCATCCTGCTAGACTGTTGCAGATGTTCTTTTGAGGATGAGATGCTTGGCCAGAGCTACAGGAATGTATTGATAACCTGGAGTCTCATCATTGGGGTCATTCCAGCAAGTTTAGCCGGAGGTGCTCACATAGCCCCTCCCCGCCATGCAGTCCCCGCTACTGGATCATGGCATTTGGAGTTTGCATATGCTCAGGAAATCTGTCAGCATTGGCCATGAGCAGATATACAGATGTCATAGCTTTTATTCGTAATGAGAGCACTGGTTCAGAAGGTAGACAGCTGGTGCCCAGCAGCCCATGACGAGTAGGCAAACTACAAAGCTTTTTTATCCCTACACCGATGACAGTTAACAGTGTTTTGGTCCAAGTGGCAGAGAACACAACTCAAATGGGCCTAACTCAAAATTGCATTTAGTGGGTTCCCTACCTTAAAAAAATTCAAAGGTATATAAGTTTCAGGGGCATTTTGATCCAGAGGTTGTCACCAGGGATATCAGCCTCATTCTCCTTTTTTCTCCTTTTCTCTTTGTATTCCTTCCTGTGGTTGCTTGTCAAGCTAGAGCCTCTCTTGGCAGCAGCTCCAGGCTCACACCCTTCCTCCACATATTCATACAACAAATGACTCTTCTGATAGCTTCTGCGTAATGATGAGGAGGCTGCAGTCCTTCAGTATCACAGGTGCCTAGCCCTAATCTAATCACAACAGCCCAGAGGTAGGGAACAGAGTGACATAATTGAACTCAGCTTAGAACAATAGTATCTTCTCTGATATGATAAAGAACAGGAAGGTATCTTGTCTTGCTTCATGGATTGTGTGGCTCAGAGATACCTAGAATTACTGGCTTATTTTTTTAAATATAATAATGTAGAATAGTTAAGAGCAAATCCCCAATCAGATAGTTAATAATCTTAACTTCCAGATCTTACATTTTACTTTTATTTAATAAAAGTAAACTTCTAAAAATCTTATATACTAGTATGTATACTCCTAAGCATGAGCTATATTGTACGTTTTTTGAGTTTTGAATTATAGGGATAAATGAAATACTACGTATAAGGATTGCTATAATTACAGTATACCACATATTTCCTTTCAAGTATATATCCTAACATAACCTAGTATAATCTTTATATATATTCTCTAATACAATATATAATTTTAAAAAGTGAAATGGTCTAATCATTAGTGGCCTCCTCTGGGCTCATTTCAAGCAGCTGGTAGAATTGAAAGCGAAATTCCTTAATGTCTACGACTCCCTTCGAGCAAGTCTTTAAAATTATAGTGACTCTGAAAGCATCAA